AAACTTCTGGCATTTCCCAAAACTAAAATCACCTTCGAGCATATGCCTGGGTTGCAGGCCAGGTCCTTGGTAGGGGGCATGTGAGAGGCAACCACACATTGATATTTCTCTCCCTTTCTTTCTCCTTCCCTTCCCCTCTTTCTAAATATAAATAAATAAAATCTTAATTTTTTTTAAGATTGCATTTATTTATTTACAACCCAGGCATGTGCCCCGACTTGGAATCAAACCGGTGACCCTTTGGTTTGCAGGCTGGCACTCAACCCACTGAGCCACCCCAACCAGGTCAATAAATAAAATCTTAAAAAAAAAATCATCTTTGAAAGGGAAGAGATTTCAGACCATCTATAAGATTCAGGAAAATACAATGGGGCAGATGATGGTGATTGGGAGAACTGTTGTGAGGTTCCAAGGTACCCACTTTGAAGGGGACTGAGGCGTCATTGTTGTCTATACAATGTTTCTTGTATCTTTAATAAATGCCTCTGTTTTTCATAGTGCGTGGCTGGATACTTTCTGGACAGATCTCGTATGATTTGTGGATATTTTCTTCTATTTTGTATGTTTTCACTTTCTTGATACATTCCTTTGAAGTACAACTCTTTAATTTTGATGAAGTCTAATTTATCTATTTTTTCTTTTTACGAGTTTTATAGTTTGAGCTCCTCTATTTAGATCTTAGATCTGTTTTCAGTTAATCTTTATATGGTATAAGGTAGTGCTCTGACTTCATTTTTTCGCATGGAAATATCCAGTTGTTTCAACACCATTTATTGAAAAGCCTATTCTTTCCCTGTTGAAGCTATTAAAAATTTTAAGCAGAAAAATTATATAATCATATGTATATTTAAAGACAATCACCCAGGCTACTGTGTAGAAAATGGCAGCTCCTACATCCCTGAATGTTAGAATGCCAACAAAGGATACTGAGAATGAGCAGCCAGTGCCATACGGAGCAGTAATTTGTGGTATCCGAGAAGTGTTTCAAGAAGAGAAAAAATCAATTGTGTGGAATCCTTCTGAATGATTAAAATGTATAAAAGGAACTAAATATTGGGTTTGGCAGTCAGAAGATTATTGGAGACCTTTTCAAGAAGAGCAGTCTTAGTAAAATAGTAGTGATACCAGTTTGATTATAGTTGGTTGAAGAATGAATTGGAGGCAACAGAATCTAGAGCTCGTGCGCACGCGCGCGTCTCTCTCTCTCGCTCGCTCTCCCCCCCCAACCCCCCCCCTCAAGTTTTAATGAGTGTGTATTCTGGGCCTGGTTTTTTAAGTGTTTTAAATCTATTAGATCTGGTGCTCATAAAAATTCTTCAAGATAGATATTGTTAGTATCCACTTTTTACAGTTGAGGACATTGAGTCTTAGGTGTATAATGTAATATTCTCATACTTTGGAAAGTTGATGGAAGTTACTGGCTTCAAACTTCAAGATAAGAATCTACTTCTAGAGATTTGTTGTTTACATTTACAATGATGTGAAGAAATTATGTGAAAAATGGACTGGCCCTTAGCCAATAAAAAAGAGAGAGAGTTACTAGGTCTTGGATTTAGAAATAAAAATAGAGACATATTTTCAGTACTTGTTCCTTGGTGCTGTATCTCTGAAGAAGTTTGTGTGTGACCTAGAGGTGAAGGTTGTGCTGGGCCTTGCAGACGGAATTCAGACAGCGTGGTTAAGGAAAAAGAGAATTGTGTGGAAGGCCCAACCTAGAGACTGCATCTGTCTTATCATCACTGTCAGTGCATCCCTACTGCAGACACAGTGCTTGCAGCAACTAGTTTATCCCACACTCCTTATTTAGTTTTATGTTGTCTGGATCATGCACGAAGTTTCTCATATATCTCAGGTACTAGCTTGTCAAAAGGTACTTCCTGTAGGTTCTCCAAGGATTATGTAAGTTCCACAGTAATCATTTTCGAGGCTTGAAGACGCAGATCAAGGGATTGGCAGATCATATTTTGGTGAGACCTCTCTTCCTAGCTAGCTTCCTGCCTTCTTGCTGTGTCCTCAGATAGCCTTTACCTTGTGAGAGAGCCAAGATAATTCTTTAAAGAAGTTTGTTGGGGGGAAAAAGAATTTTGTAGGTATAGACAAGCTTGCCCTAAAACTTACATGGAACGGCAAGAATACCTAAAACAGTACAACAGAAAAGTGATTGGGAGGAATCAGTGTTCTTGGTTTTAGGTTGGGTTTTTGTTTTTGTGTGTGTGTGTGTTTTTTTTCCTGCAGTAATCAAGACAGCATAGTATGGGTGGAGTAGGTAGGGCATAGACACAGGTCATTGGAACAGAATTTTAAAACCCAGAAATAGATCGAACCATGGCCTGCTGATCTTTGCCTAAGGTGCAAAAGCAAATTCAGTGAAAAAAGGGTATTTCCACAGGTTTTTAAACAAATGGTGCTAGAGCAATTGGACATCTATAAGCAAAAACATGACTTTCTACTTAAAATCCACACATTGTACCAAAATTAATTCAAAATGTATCAATTTAAATGTAAATTGTAAAATGAGAAGTCTTTTAAAAGAAAATATAGGAAGAAAATTTTTGAGAACTGAGACTAGGGGGAGAATTCTTTGGTGTAACATTAAAACTGCAATCTGTAAACTATTAAAAATTTAATAAGTTGTATTTCAACAAAATTTTTAAAACATTTGCTCTACAAAGGATCCTGTTGAGAGTTTGAAAAACCTAGTTACAGACTTGGAGAAAATGTTTCCAAACTACATATCTGACATGTAAAAAGAATTCAACACTCAACAGTTGTTTTTTTTTTAAAGGCTAACAGTCCAATTAGAAAATGGGCAGAACGTAAACAGATATTTCACTGAAAAGTATATCATATGGATGGCAAGTAATTACATGAAAAAATTTTTAATGTCATTAGCCATAGAGAAATACAAATTAAAATGATAATGATATCACAACAAGCCCTGTTAGACCAACTAAAATAAAAAAGTGACAACACCAAATGTTTATGGTATGTAGATACTGGTTCTCTCATACATTGCTAGTGAGAATGTGAAGTGATACAGCCACTGTAAAAAGTTTGACCTTTTTTTTTTATAAAGTTAAACATACATTTATCATATGGTTCAGCAATAATAATATTCGTGGTTGTTCATTCCAGAGAAATAAAAAACTTAGGTCCAAACAGAAACTTACACATGAATATTCATTAGCAGCTTTTTGTAATAGCCAGAAACTGGAAACAAGCCAAATGTCCTTCCATGGGTAAGTGGGTAAACAAATAGTGATATGTCCACACCACGAAATGAGCAGACTAGTATATGCAACAGCTTGGGTCGGTCTCTTTCTCCCTTCTTTCCCCTCTCTCTAAAAATAAAGAAATAAAATCTGTTTTAAAAATATATTTTATTGATTGTGTTATTACAGTTATTCCAATTTTCCCCCTGCCCCCCTCTGCCTGGTACCCCCATCCCCACCAGCAGTACCCCCATCCCCTTAGTTCATGTCCATGGGTCATGGGTATAAAGTCTTTGGCTTCTCCATTTCCTGTACTGTTCTTAACATGCACCTGTCTATTTTGTACCTACCAATTATACTTCTTAATCCCTGCACCTTTCCCCCAGTTTTCCCCCTGTTTTCCCCCTTACCCCACCCAGCAGATAACCCTTCAGATGATCTCCATATCTATGATTCTGTTTCTGTTGCTTGTTTGCTTACTTTTTTTAGATTCAGTTTTTGATAGTTGTGAATTTGTTGCCATTTTAATGTTCATAGTGTTGATCTTCTTTTCCTTAAATAAGTCCCTTTAACATTTCATGTAATAATGGCTTGGTGATGATGAACTCCTTTAGCTTTTCTTATCTGGGAAGCACTTTATCTGCCCTTCCATTCTAAATGATAGCTTTGCTGCATAGAGTAATCCAGGTTGTAGGTCCTTACCTTTCATCACTTTGAATACTTCTTGCCAGTCCCTTCTAGCCTGCAAAAAGTTTCTTTTGAGAATTCAGCTGACAGTCTTAGGGGTACTCCTTTGTAGGTAAGGTAACTCTCTGCTTTTCTCTTGCTGCTTTTAAGATTCTCTCTTTTAACCTTTGGCATTCTATTCATTTTTTTTTTTTCCATTTCTTTCTCTTCTTAAAAAGATTTTATTTATTTTAGTCAGAGCGGAAGGAAGCGGGGGGAGAGAAACATCAAAGTATGGTTGCCTCTCGCGCACTCCCTACTGGGGGCCTGATGTGGCCCGCAACCCAGGCATGTGCCCTGACTGGGAATTGAACTGGTGACTCTTTGGTTCACAGGCCGGCACTCAATCCACTGAGCCACACCAGGCAGGGCCACTTTTGGCATTTTAATTATGATGTGCCTTGGTGTGGTCCTCTTTGGGTCCATAAATTAAATCTTCAAAACATGTTTATGTGCTGATGAGAATGATCCATAAAAGGAAAAAAGTGGTGATGCAAACAAGAGAGAAAAATTAAAGGAGCAAATTATGTGTCTTAAATCATTGATTTGAAGGCACTGAAAAATAGTGTTTACACGTTTCAGTCTTGTTATTTATAAATAAGATTGTCTTTACAACTTTTTGTTAGTGATTCTAAAGGTAGGTGCGGCTTTACTATGGTGTAGTCCTTTAATGTTCTAAAAATTCCACATGCTTTTGCATTACATTATGGAGCTAGATGACTTAAAAATGGAACTCCAAGTGTTTTTTATCACATTTACTGTGTTCATTTTAACATAACCTTTCAAAGTTTTTTTGTGTTACTTTATTGTTTTCCCTTCCAGTTTTCATCCAGTATAGGTAGGTCATTAATTTTCTTTGACTACAAAGTTTTATATATACATGTATGTTTATGAATAACCGTAATGGTTTTACCATTTAAGAATTAAGTGAGTGGTGGTTCTATTTTGCATGTTTGGCATATTGTGGATTTTAATCTCTATTCTACCAAACTATTTTATTGTTTCACCTTTTATCTAGAATATAGTAATATCAAAATGCTCACAGATTATTGTTTATTTCAGGGATACGGCAGGCCAGGAGCGATTTCACACCATCACAACCTCCTACTACAGAGGAGCAATGGGTATCATGCTAGTATATGACATCACCAATGGTAAAAGTTTCGAAAACATCAGCAAATGGCTTAGAAACATAGATGAGGTAAGACGTAGAAATAGCATAAACGCTTCAAGTACTTGGTTGACAAGAAAAAGTATTCTACTTGATCTTTAGGAGATAATGTACTGTCATTATTGAAGTCATTATTATTGATCATTTCTACTTTTTAAAAATTTTAATACTATTTTTTACCTCTATATTAAATTTTTGAGCAGGTCTATCTAGAACTTCATTCAAGACAATTACTAAATTACCCAAAAACTCTCTCTAGCGATTGTAGAAGATGGCCCCTAATAGGAACTACCGATGGTTTTACACACCTTTTGTTATGCCAAGTATTTAAAATGCTGTATCATCTTCCTCCCCCCCCAACCATGGGCTGTGAGGACTTTGGGGACCCCTTGCTCTACACCCTGTTACAAGAGGAATTTACGTAGGAATGCAAGGATTGTTTAACATATCAAAACAATCAATGTAATTTACCATATTAATAAAAGAAAAACCATGTGATCATTTCAACAGATATAGAAAGAACTCTCTTAGCCTAATAAAGGACATCTATGAAAACCCTACAGGCAACATCATACCTGCCCCCCTAAAGTCAAGAAGATGATAGGGGTGCCTGCTCTGGTCACTATTCAGCATTGTACTGGAAGTCTGACAGTTAGAGAAGTCGGGGGGGGCACTGAGACTGTAAAGTGAAACTCTGTTTGTAAATCTTGTATATAGAAAATCCACACATACACACCAAAAAATAAACTATTAGTGTTACCAAACCCAACCAGAATGGGGAGGAGGGGGTCCTACCACTTGCTGCCTACCAGGCAAACCTCTGAAGATGGATTTTGCTGAAAAAGAAAGGAATCTTTTATTTAATGGAAAGTTTCTACCAAAAGTATCTGGGTAACAAAAGTAAGGGGAAAGAAAAAAATCAGAGTATGACATCAAAACTAGCCTCATTATAACTACTACATAGGGTCAAGAACTGAAAATAACACAAGAACAAAAGTCTGTTCACAGTGCTGACTGTTACCAACAAGGCCTTTGGAAATAATAGCAAGTTTCTGCCTCAAAGCCTGTTCCCTGTAAGACACCCAAAGAAAAATCACCCTGTTACCCTCTGCCAGCTCAGTACAAGATTGCTCCAGAAACCTCTTTTCCCACCCAATAGTATCATAAACATGGGTGGCTTAGCTGGTCTCTGTTTGCTGTCCAGCTTCAGGCATCTTTTGGAGTCTGTGCCCCCTGGCCTCCACTCAGAGGCCCTTGCTGGTTACCATTAGCAGGCGCACTGGTGACCGATGGCATGCCACCTGCCCAGGGAAGAGGAAAGAACCAACTGCCTTTTTTGCTTCCCGGCAGGCTCCATTTCCAAAGTCCTCTCCCAGAACCCCTTGTGTGCTGAAAGCCAGTGGGCGTGTCCAGCCGTCCATTGAGGGCCAGTGTTGGCCATATTTGCCTTTTCCCCTCTTCCTGCTGCCATGTTTAGCAAGAGGGCAAAGTCTCCAGTTACACATGTGCAGCTCATGCCCCTCCCCCATTTCCAGGGGTATGTCCCCCTGTTACATTAGCACCAGTAAACAAGTTCTGTACAGTTGCAGGGAACAAAATCAGTATATAAAATCAGTTGCATCTCTGTACACTAGCACTGAATAATATAAAAATAAAGTTAAGAATATAATTCCATTTACCAAAGCATCAAAAAAAATTTAAAGAAGGAAGATTTGTACATTGAAAACTGTAAAATGTTGTTGAAAGAAATTAAAGATCATCTAAATAATTGGGAAGACATCCCATGTGTATCAGTTGGAAGATTCCATATTGTTAAGATGGCAGCACTGCCCAGAGTGGTCTACAAATTCAGTTAATCCCAATCAAAATCCCAGCTACTGCCCCCTTCCTTTTGGTGGAAGTTGCCAAGCTCATCCTAAACTGTATATAGTAATGCAAGGGATTCTGAATAGCCAAACCGTCTTGAAAAGGGGAATGGCATTTAAGCTGAGACCTGAAGAGATGAGTAGAAGTCATCCAGATAAGGAAGGGGGCTGGTGGAAAGAATGTGATGGGTTCAAATTTAAGATAAATCAAAACTCATAAAGTACTTTTGGTATCCGGAGAACGTGACTACCTTGGCTGTGGGGGTGTTTAAAGACAGGTGCTTTGGGCCAAAGATACATGATTTACAACCACTTTCCTCATTCCATGGGTTGCTTTTCACTTTGATAATATTACTAGTGACTCACAAAAGTTTTTAATTTTGATGAAGTGGAATTTCTTTTTTTTTTTCTTTTGTTGCTTATGCTTCTGGTGTTATATCCAAGAAATCATTGTCAAATCCAATGTCATAAAAATTTTTTCATGTTTTCTTCTAAGAGTTTTATAGCTAAAAGACTTCTACTTGTATTTAGGTCTGATTCATTTTGAGTTCATTTTTATATATGATGTAAGTTAGGGGTATAACTTCATTCTTTTACATGTTGCATGTACTATTCCCAACACCATTTGTTGAAGATTATCCTCTTCCCATTGAATGCTCTCGACAGTCTTGTCAAAAATCATTTGACTGTGTGTGCGAGAGTTTACTTCCATGCTATTTTGTTCATCTGTATGTCTGTCTTTATGCCAGTAGCAGTTTTGATTACTGTGGCTTTGTAGTAAGTTGAAATCAAGAAATAAGTATAACTCTTCCAACTTTGTCCTACTTTTTCAAGATGGTTTTGGCTATTCAGGATCCCTTGAGATTCCATATGAATTTTAGGGGTGGATTTTTCTATTTGTGTAAAAGGTGTCATCAGGATTTTGATGGAGCAAACATTTGTTTTTAAACTGATTTTTATACATGGGTTCTCCTTGTGCCCTGGCAGTGTAGCTTTTTGAGACTTGAAGGGCTTTGTAGAATTTTTAATTAATGCTTCTCTATGGTAATACACATTATCTAAAATCATGATCCAGCTTGGATTTAGACTATGCACAAAAAAGATCTGGCTTCAGATCTTTTTTGCCTCTATCTTCTTTTGGTGAAAACATCTAGAAATTAGATAGCCTCACATAGTGAGAAAATAATATTTGACAGGGATATGTCTTTGTTGTGTTTTTTCCCCCAAGGTAATTTAAGAATTTATGTAAGCTTTTATTTAGTATTGGATGATTCTGGGGTGATTGCTTTAAAACTTTCAGACTGTTGACATGACACCATATATTGAGGAAAAGTCATTTTGGGGGAGTATTGAGCCCTAACTCATGGTAGTGTGTAAATAAAAATTTTTTATTCCATTGTAGCATGCCAATGAAGATGTGGAAAGAATGTTACTAGGAAACAAGTGTGATATGGATGATAAAAGAGTTGTACCTAAAGGAAAAGGAGAACAGGTAAAAAATTGTGAATGAGCCCTGGCCGGGTAGCTCAATTGGTGTTTCTCTCTCCCACCTTCTCTCTCTCTCTCAAAATCAATAACTAAAAAAAAAAAGCTCTAAATGAAACTAATATGTAGCCCCTTCTTTGTGAAGATGGCATTGCATTTGATTGTTTTTACAGTAGTGATAATAGAGTGTCCTGAGTTGTTCATGTTGGTTTTTAAATGCTGTTGGAAAGAGTAGCTTACAAGTGAATTTATTTCAATATGTACCCAACAGTTAAGAATTAAAACTGTGGCAGTATTTTTTTAGCCTTTGTTAAACTACAAAGGGGAAAATACAAATTAGTGATTCTCAGTTTTTCAATTTAAGACATTAAATGTATCAATTACTGATTCCGTAGTTTGACAATCAATGGCCTGTGTCAGGCAGAAACCAGATACTGCTTAAGTCACTTTGAACTTAAGTTGTTCCCCTGGAGTAAAATACAGTTGACCCTTAACCAACATGCCAACGCCTCACCCCTGTGCAGGTGAAAATCCATGTATAACTTTTAACTCCACAACAACTTGACTACATTTGCCACACAGTATCTGCAGGGAATTGGTTGCAGGACCCCCTGGGAATACCAGAATCCAAGGGTGCACAAGTCATTTATATAAAGTGGCGTAGGACAGTGCATATGGCTGACCCTTGCATCTGCAGATACAAAACCCAAGGATCCTAAGGGTCAAATGTATATTTATTGGAAAAAATCCGCATACTTCTGACCCGTGTTGTTCAAGGTTCACCTGTACTTGATTTAGATGATCTGAAGTAATAAGCTCTTAGAGAAGAGGATTCTTTTATTACTTTTGTTTGTTTGCTTATTTTTAAAGAGCTTGACTGAATCTGGACCCATTGAAATAAACCTTTACGTAAGCTACTTAAAATTGCTCTCTTTAGCATAGTATTACTGTTTCCTCTGAGATGCTAAAGTCATCAGTTGGCAACCTATACTTGATGATTTTGTGATGACATTTTGCTTCTATTTTAGATTGCAAAGGAGCATGGTATTAGATTTTTTGAGACTAGTGCAAAAGCAAATATAAACATCGAAAAGGCCTTTCTTACATTAGCTGAAGATATCCTTCGAAAGGTAAGTTCCTATTTTTATTTGCAGCTAAGGTGCTCTGTTTTATAGCTGAAAACTTAGTTTTTTCTAAAGTACTTGATTTACATACTAGACTTGGGTTTGGGTGATGTTGTTTTGAAACATTTAACCATCACCAGTATCTAATCCTCAAAAGTGAGTTCAGGAACTGGGAGAACAGAGAGCCATCTAGAAATCGATAGGGTCTAGTCAGTAGTAATAGTTAATATCCTGAGCTCCCACACTTACTCTCTAGTCTCTAAGATTCTACTCCTTTTCTTTCCCCAGCTTTTTGTCTGGTCCATGGTGTTATGGCTTTCTTTTCTGTTTACTTTTGGATTCATTTCTTTCACACATCCTTTGCATTTCTTCCATAGATCATTTTTTTAAGTTTAAGATAAGAGGTGAATGTATTCTGGAGTTATTGTTACAGAATCATTATTCTTCTGTATAGTCATTCTCAGATGTGCCAATAAAGGGCATGTATATATTATATACTGAATAAACAGAGTAAATCCATGCCCATATTTTATTTAGCCAATCATTTCAATCTGTGATATAAAAAGAATAATAAAAATTAGGCTGAAAATGTGATCTCGAGGAATTCATCTTATCTCAAGGTTAGTTTCTGTGTTTCATTCTTGTGAATCCCAAAATTTACCTGTTCAAGTAACTTGTGGCAAAGTTGGGAAATTTGATTTTCATATTTTCCCTCAACTGACTAGATTTGGTTATGAGTCCTGAATTCTCTGTTCAGTCTGTAGTAAATTTATATGCAAATAAAATTAGAGAAAATCTGACACAAATCTTAAAGGAAAAACAGACCTTGTATAGTAGAAAAGTTCGTTGCTTCTGGTTACCTTTTTGCTTTCGTTTTCAAAAACCAACCCAAAGATTTAAGAATATGTGTGTGTGTATATACATACACACACAATATATAAACTGTAATAGAGGTGGTATATCAAAAAAAAATCTAGTAAAATCTCTGAGAAACCAAGCAACTTAATTTTTCAGAGTGAAATGTTATGTTAACTATGATTGGGCATTCAAACTGGATAAAACAGTCGTCAGTTAGTGCTGTTCAAAGTGGCTACAAAACAAAAGCTGTGCCCTTCCACGCCTGCCAGCATCCTGCACGTAAAGTCTGACAGCTGTGATATAGTGCGTAATAAAAAGCAAATTAGGATTGAATATGTGTAGTGTGATCTTATTTTTAAAAATTGTATATGATATCAAACACACATGTTTTGCATCATATGTAATTGCATGATCACACCCACATTTGGTTATGTTTAGCAAATAAAGACCTGGAAGGATATAAACTCTTACGTAAGAAGGACTCCAAGGCAGTGATGGCAGTGAGCGGAGGGCGATACTGGACAGAATGATGAATTAGTGGAAAGTACTTTGCATTTCAGAGACTCGGGGGTTGCCGTGAAAAACTATTCCAGTATTTACAAAACTTATCACAAACTTGTTGAAATACCCCTGTGTCTGTTCTTTCTCTTTCAGGATATTTTGGTCTTCTCCATTGTTTTTTGTTTATTTCTGCCCATACTATGTTCCTTGATATTCTCATCAGTCTTTACTTTTTTTAAAAAGTAGGGCTATATTATATCATTGTGTAATCTATGTCCCACTGAAGTAGATCTTCCTTGTTATCATATTAAAGGCTAAAAAGTATGGATGCATCAATAAATAAAGATCTCAGTGTTGCATCTTTCCCATATAGGCAGGCCCAAATGTGAGCTAGAATTTTTTTCATACACTTTTCAGTCTGGTAAAGTGAGTTAAAATACCAAACATAAACTTGTTTAACATTAGATAGGAAACACAGTAGTGATTTTTGACTAGCAACTTTTTGTGCAGTACTTTCTCTCCTGAGTTGATAAAAGAAAAATCATTTTGTAATATAAACTTCAGTCTCAAAAGGCAAGTAACTACACAGAAAAGGGCTGTTTCACTTTTCTGAAGTTAGACATGACCTAACATTGGTTTTATGCAGATGCTTGATAATGCTTTTTAAGTACTAAATACTCAGGGGTTAGGGACTAGGAGATAACAAACGTCTCTGCACAAGTGTTAGGGGCAGAGAAGATTTCAGAGGAGCGCTGGGAGGCCTCTAGACATTTCACAATTTGGAGAAAGCAGGCAGTGAGTACTAAGAACAGAGTTTTCAAGTCTTTACTTGCCATAGGGGAGAAAACCTGTCTCGTGACTGTAATTGCTTTCTGTTACATAAATTAACGTTATGAGAGTATTTCTGTTGAATTGATTTATGCAAGACAATGTTTTTTCATGGGTTCCTCTCCTTGTGTGTTTGTTCCAGACCCCTGTAAAAGAGCCCAACAGTGAGAATGTAGATATCAGCAGTGGAGGCGGCGTGACAGGCTGGAAGAGCAAATGCTGCTGAGCGCGCTTCTGTCCGTCCGTTGCCATCCACCACCCTGTTTTCTCTTGCTGCAAAATAAACCACTCTATCCATTTTTAATTCTAAACAGATATTTTTGTTCTTCATCTTAACTATCCAGTCCACCTATTTTATCTGTTCTTTCATCTGTGACTGCTTGCTGACTTTATAATTTCCTTTAAACAAGAAAAAATGTATAGAAAATCATGTCTGTGACTTCATTTTTAAATGTACTTGCTCAGCTCACCACTGCATTTCAGTTGTATTATAGTCCAGTTCTTATCAACATTAAAACTTATAGCAATCATTTCAACTCTATTCTGCAAATTGTATAAGAATAAAAGTTAGAATTAACAATTTTATTTTGTACAACAGTGGAATTTTCTGTCATGGATAATGTGCTTGAGTCCCTTTAATCTATAGACATGTAATAGCAAAAGAAACAAACAAAAGCCAGGAAAACACTCATTTTCGCCTTGAATATGTAAATGGGGTTAATTTTGTCCTGTGCCTTATGTGGAAAGAAACTTTGGTTTTTCCTTTTTTTTTGTTTTGATGGAAGCATGTGCAGGAGACATCCAAACATAAACCATTAAAATGTTTGCAATTTGCTTGGCTGTCATTTTCAAAGTAGTTAATTGAGGACAAAGGATAATGCAGAAGTGATAGCTTTGGTTTGCTGAGTCTCATTTTAAGTGGCCTTGATATTTAAAACTATTCCTGCCACTGGTCCTCCTCCTCGGCCACTTTCTCCTTGTGTTTGTCTTCCTGCATGCTGCTTTATTTGCCTCTCCCTCCCCACCACCTCGTGGTATGAGTTATTTTAAAATGAAAGGGGCAAACTAGTAAGTTTGTCAAGTTTAACATAAAGCACTGATTTAACTTGCTAAGTAAACTGAAAGCAAATTCTAACTGCCTACTATTCAAATGTCAGTTAATTGTGTCTTCCCCTCATTTTGTCTCTCCCCTAAAATTTCTGCCCCAGATTCCTTCATTTGCTCTTTGACTTCATGTTCCTCTTCTTCCCTCTTTGTTCCCTTAACCATTGAGTTTATGAAATGGAAGAGTTAATTGCATGCACTCGTGTTTGGAGGGTGTTGTGGTTTGTCTTTCTAATTAGGTATATTGCCTATTCACTTTCCTAGAATAAATTTTTGACCTAAATTTGGGTAGTCTCTATTTTGGCAACTCCTCTAGCAGTTTGGTAGCCCAGCAAAGGTTGTTTAAAAAAAAAAAAAAAAAAGATGGGAAGGAGGAGTGAAATTTATTAACATATTTGCCAAATATATTGAGATTTGGCCTTTGAAGAACACTTTTTCAGTGTTATCTTTACCTTAAGATTTAGACATACTTTAGTGTATTACTAATTGTAAGTAATCTCTTCTCATCCCTTTGGAAAACTTGTATTACCATGGATTCAGAAAAAAGGACGACAAAAAGGCTTTTCATGTAAAGATCAGATCTCTAGCTATCTCTAACCCTGTCCTCCTTTTCCACTTCATTTTTCTAGTTCTGCTTCATTGCTTATCACTAGGATAGGGTAGTTAAGTTTGCTACGCTGCTAGCATCCTAAGATGATACCTTTGTTGAAATAATTGTGAATAGCATGATTCATTTCTAGCAGAGGCTGAGTTTAGGACAGCAGCTTCCATTGAAAAGTCTTTCTGTGTTGTGGACAGCATTTTAATGCCGTCTTGGCTCACATAAACAATGTAGGGACATATCTGCTACAAACATCCATGAATTTTTCAGATAGTGCCCTAAAAGCAATTTCATATGCCTCACTGGTGGTTGTTCTCAGCTCCACACACACAGACACACACACACACACACACACACACACAGACACACACACACACACACTTTATCATTGTTTACTACTAGTAAAAGCAGCATTGCCAAATAATCCCTAATTTTCCACTAAAAAAAATAATGAAATGATGTTAAGCTTCTTGAAAAGTTTTAAGGTTAAACCTACTGTTGTTAGATTAATTTTGGTGTGTTTGTTGCTTTCCTTTATCTGGAATGTGGCAGTAGCTTTTTTATTTTTAACCTTTACTCCTTATTCAATTCAGTGACTTAAGGTTGGAGAGCTAAATAAGCACTGGGATTTTGTGGGTAACAGACTGACAGTTTTGTTGTTTGCATAATCGGCATTGTACATAGAAAGGATATGGCTACCTTTTGTTAAATCTGCACTTTCTAAATATCAAAAAAAAGGGAAATGGAGTATAAATCAATTTTTGTAAAACCTGTTTGAAACATGAGTTTTATTTGCTTAATATTAGGGCTTTGCCCCTTTTTCTGTAAGTCTCTTGGGATCCTGTGTAGAAGCTGTTCTCATTAAATACCAAACAGTTAAGTCCATTCTCTGGTACTAGCTACAAATTCGGTTTCATATTCTACTTAACAATTTAAATAAACTGAAATATTTCTAGATGGTCTTCTTCTGTTCATATAAAAACAAAACTTGATTTCCAACTGTGTGGCTTGGTTTTCATTTATTTATGGAGTTGAAGAATCGAGGATTACTGTGGAAAAATAATGCAGAATGAATATTCACAGGGCAGAAATAGAAGGGAAATAACTTTGGGAAAACTGGGAAGGCAATTTCAAAAACTATCTTTGGTAAGAAACAACATTAAAAAATAGACATCTCTAGGACAGTAAAGCAGAATAATCCTGGTGTCAAAAGAGACCACGATCCTAGTCACTTCCCAGCTAGCTGCTGTACTAGAATGTACCAGAGGCTAAACAGCTGCAGCCCGCAGGTTACTGGGCGCGGAGGCGGGCTTGCCAAACTCCTGGTGAGGAGGGCGAATCGTTCTGGCAATGATTCTTAGCTGAAAAACAAGGTATTTGCTACCTTTTTTTGTGAACCATAATATGAGACATCTTTTTTATGTATAGTATTGTGGAAGGAAGTGTTCAATTCTGTCTTAAGGCCTTGTTAGTCAATAAAGATTTGTTGACAAGATTCTACAGAAAGGATGGTATGTAGAGGTTTTCTCGTACTGCAGTGTTTCTCAGAATCACCTGGAGTATTTCTAATGCTTCCCCGTTCACTCCCAGCATGCATCTGCTTTTTGGCATCTGTGGGGAGGCCTGTGATTGTGCTTTTGAGACTGGCATACGAAAAGAGAAGGTGGTCTCTACCCTTAAATGTATGATCCATCTTAGGAAGCAAAAGCAGTTAATAATCAGCTACACATACACAAGAGCCAAATAGTTGTGATCCGGATTCTAAGTACTGTGTTAACAGAAGAGCAAGTCCAGTTGAAATACTTGAAAGAATAGAGAGCAAGAATAATTGGGGTGGCTTTCGAGGGAGAAGGGACATGAATTGGTTCTTGGATGACATAGATTGATCGGTTAAGGGCAAGAGGAGGCTTAGAAACATCGGTGTCTTTCTGCTGTTTGTGTTCCAGCAGATCAGAAACACACTGATGTGAGAAACCGTAAGTCCACCTGGACAGTGTGGTGGCAGTTGGGACACCTGGTAAGCCATCCGGGCAGCAGTGTGAGGAAAACAAGTGTAGACAGGCTGGGAGAGAAACTGCAGGGCGCTAGGGCTTATGTGAAGGGGAGAGTCGCCTGCCAGGAGCTTGCTGGGTGCTGTGCCACTCGGGTTCTTTGGGTCCTGTTGTCATCAGCCTGGTGAAGTACCTGAGGTACAAAGATAAGATTAATTTTTTAAGATTGCACAGGCAATTGGTGCTGGAGTTGGGTTCTGAAACCAAGTCTAACACCAGGGAACGTTCACTCATAGTTTCTCAAGATAAGTTCCTATGGTTTGATCATAATGAGTATAATCAGGGTAATAAACATGTGCCAGAGCCAACAGCAAGATAGAATGGTAGAGTGTAGTCTTAATATTACCATTTAGTCTAACTCGTACCTTCTACGAGAGTAACGCCCTTGAAAAGTATTCAGCTCAGTTTACTACTGTTTTGCTTTAAACCTTATTACCCCTCACTACCTTGCCAGTTCTACATTTCCTCCTCCTCCAAACCATCTTTTGGCTGAAAGTAGCAAAAGCCATTGCTTTTCACAATTGTCTTCATTGGCTTTCTGAGGATTAACTGAAAAGGTCTTTGTTGAGTAATAGTGGTAAAATAACTCAATACAGGGGAGGGGAAAGAAGGCAGCTGCGTATGGTTTATGCCCGCTTCCCGGAGGGATTTTCAGAAGTTTAAATCAAGACTAGTGGTGCAGTGGGACTCTATAGAAAGTCAAGAGTCATGGAGGGGAAGATGAGGCTCCGAGCTCTAAAGGGACACCGAGTTTAGGTCTGAGATTTCCAGCATCAAGAGAGGAGGAGAGGTGGTGTATTCCTTTTGCAGCCAGTGAAGGAGAGCATTGACAATTGGTAAGGATGGGAAATTTCTAGCATAAAATTCATCAATTTCTACCATGGAGGGTCATTTACAAAGTGAAAATGTCTCCAACGCAAATTCATAAAAATGCATAAATTTACTCATATGCTGCTCATTTTTTAAAAATTTCAGTAAAAATGCAAGAGTAAATTGTAAATCAATGGTGACATTTCTACCAGGAGCTTAAATAACAAAGTCTAGGTTTGTAGTTTTATCATGATCTGGCTTGATATAGACAGTTTATTGCTTCTGAAAGAAAGGGTAATTAACATATTCATTAGATTGTGAAATGGTCTCAATTGGTCTTCTGACTGGGACTAGAGAGTAGTCAGCCCAAGATTAACTTCCCATGTGAGTGCTTGAAGTGCAGGGTTTCAGTGCTAAAAAAAGGGCCCATTTGGACACTGTAAGTGCAGGAAGCGGAGCTGATAATACTATGACAATGATAAGACTCAAAGGAGAGGCCATTTCTTTATATATCTTAGGAACATCGATTCATTGTTCCACCTATTTATACTTCCATTGGCTGATTCTTGTATGTGCCCTGATGGAGGATCGAACCCCATGACTTCGGGGTATCTGGATGATGCTCTAACTAACTGAGCTACCCGGGCAGCGCAGAGGGGAACCTGTGCCTCTTATGAAGTGCCTGCAGGATTCCATTAAAGCCTCCTAAATTTCACATCATCAAACACAATTTAGGTTTGGAAGATTCTCAAGGCAGATGTTGGGGTGAAACTACCTGGATGAAAATACTGAGCCGCACCTCCTGCAGGTGAGCTGGCTGGGAGGAGAGGCAGATTTGAAGTTACCTGTGGTGTGCGGGGC